AAGTTGTTTCTTTTTTTTTTTTTTTATTCCACCCACTTTGTTTGTTTGTTTGTTAGATTGGCTGTAATTGACCTGAAGGAGCTTGTAACTGTTCAGCACCCACTCGGTAGAAGTAAAGTCAGAAACCGGTTGAATAAACTCTTGTAAACCGTAAAAATCTCCATAGATCTTTGCTTCCTCCCACCCCTTAGGCCAGCAGGTCCAAAGGACGGTGTGCCCTCCACCTCCCGAGGTCTCTGCCATTGTCCCCTTGGCGGGGTTGAGGTGGTGTACAGCGAGTTCTGACCACCAGTCCCAGCCCTGTGTCCCCCAGCTGCGCTCCCAGCTACAGCCACGCGCCCTCGGGAACAGCTCACGGTGGGTGGGACTGAGGGTCCCTGCCAGTGCCTGTGGGCTCACCTCTGCTGCTGGAGGAGACAGCTGCTGCGGCGGGACAGAGCCAGGGCACCCCAAAACCTGCGCCAACTGCACCGAGGGGGTGGACAGGTGTGGGTGACAGCCAGAGCCTGCGGTCAGGGGAGCTGCCAACTCACTCTGGACCCATTTCTGCCCCCATCCACAGGCTGCTTGCCAGCTCTGTCTCTGCCCATCCCGTACGGGGCTCAGGGCTCCATCAGCTTCACCACCCATCGTGCGCAGGGCACGCTGAAGCGGCCACATGCGAGCCCAGGCAAGGCTGGTGGCACCAGCAAGGCTGGGAAGCTGGAGGTGGGTGGAACTAGGGGAGCAAAATACTTCCAGAGAGAAAAATACAGGCAAAAGGTCCTGCAAACTGCCGAGGGGTCAGCACGCCTGACCCACACCCTTGGCGCCGCTGGTGATTTATGAATTTGAAAACATCTCGGAGGGCAGAAATCTCAGCTCTTTATTGCAGAGACAAATGGGTCACAAGTGCCTCTCCCCCTGCTCCAGGAAGGGCAAATGGGTTTCCCAGCTTGCTCTGGCTCCTGGCAGGTGGCCAGCTGTCCAGAGGAGACACAGTGGCCCTGATACAAGGGGGATGAGCCTGTTCCCACTGAGGGCTGGACCTGAAGTGGTCACTGTCAGCATGGTCCTACCAGGTAGCGTAGGACAGTGGCTGTGCTCACCACTGAGCTCAAGCCAGAAATCAGGGCACAAGAAAATGCCCAGCAGCTTTCCAAGGTCACCTCTGTCCTCATGTAGGAGCTGGGGACTGCTTACCCAGGACGTGGGGACATCCACGTGCCTGCAGCACATTCCAGACCTTCCCCCAGTACTTGCACTTTTGATGAGTAACAACTGGAAGAAGCTAAACTCCTGAGCACATCTGCCAAGAGACATGGTGGAGGTGGAAGGGAAGGTGGGTCCTGGGATGTCACTCTGAGCACATTCCAGGGAAACAGGTTGGCTTCTCCAGCCCTGCTGTTCTGAGCCAAAAACCAGTGGCTCTCGTATTTTAACCTTCCCTTTTGCTTTAATGGGGCTGGGAGACAGAAAAGCTTTCCTCCACACTGCAGAACGCTGCCAAATCCGCTGCTTTTTAATAAAATTCCTCACCCACACAATACATTAAATGTTACCTAAAGGGCAAGTCTGAGAACCTCTTTGTTCCACATCTCAGCGAGCAAATCCTCGTGTTTCCACCCTTCCCAGGCGCTAACAGGAAAAATGTGTTTGAGGACCCAGTGGGTCAGAAACCACCTTTGTAAAGGCTCCCTCAGAACAAAGTCACTATGTAACATCGGTCAGGATGAGTTACACGTCCATCCCGTGCATCCTGGGAATCCAAACAAAACCTTAATTCTCTCTGTAAATGACTCTTGAATTAGAAGCCCGTGGTCCCTTCTAAATAAATCTTGTGTTGTCCTCCTGCTGCCACCCAAGATCCATGGAGCTGCTCTGGAGCTGTGAGTGGCATCCCACTCAGGCTTGGGCACAGGCTGCCACTGAGAAACAGCTCCAGGAGCATTTCCAGTGTCGGTCCCTCTGCAGGGCTGCAGGAACACACGTTTGGAACGCCTTTCCAAAGCCGCCCATGACTTGTTTGCAGCCGGAGCAGACTTGCTTGAAGCTCCATTTCTAGTCTGACATCAAGTAATAAACTAATCAAACCCCTACTGTGTCCTGAAAACCACAAGAAAATTAAACTACCTTTTCTCCCCCTCACCTCCTCTGAAGGCCATAGGATGAAGCATCTCTCCAAGGGAAAACAAGCAGGCATAACCTGGATTGGACTTACAAAGGCTACCAAAACTTTCCCTCACAAAGCACATGGTGGAAGACTCCGGAGGAGCTGCTCTCTCCTCCAGCTCTGAACTTGGTGCCAAGCACTGGCACAGGGCCCCATTTGAAGCAGCTGCCCAGGCCATGAGGCACAGCTGGACCTACTGGCTTTTTTCTCCACCAAGCTCCTCTCTCCACCTCCTCTGTGCCCCTCCTTGGAGCACACAGACAGGGAAATGCTGCTCTCCAGCTCCATGGTACAGTTCCTACAACTGTAGGACACGACATCATCAATAACAGGAATTGCCCAGAGAAGCTGTGGCTGCTCCATCCCAGGAAGTGACCAAGGCCAGGTTGGATGGGACTTGGACCAACCTGGGCTGGTGGGATGTGTCCCTGCCCATGGCAGAGGTGGAATGAGATGAGCTTTAGTATCCCTTCCAACCCAACTCATCCTATGATTCTGTGTTTTCTGGGTATTCCATGGGGTACCCAACAGCTCACTGCCTCTGCTTCCTGCAAAACTCCATCCTCTCTTGCCATAGCCAGCTCCACCACTCCCACCTCAGATCCTGGAGCGATGGCATCAAAGCCTCAGCTCCAGCTGATACCTGCAGGCTGCAAGATGATTGTAGGTGCTCTCAGGTCACCAAGCACTTAACGAAGGGGCCAGTGCCCAAGCCCCAGATGAGATGGGGAAACTGAGCCCAGAAGAGCAAAATAGCTTCAGAGGAGACGCAGCACCAGGACACTCTGGTTTCTCTACTCCCAGAGCAGCGTTAGATGTGCCACCACTCCAGCTGTGTTGGTGGAAGGCAGGGAAAGGGAAATGAGCGCTAAGAGCCAGTTGAGAGCTGTGAAAGGAGACACTCCACCACAGCAGGTGAGGACCAGCCCAGGGCTGGCAACTCTCACAGATCTGTCATAATACACATCAAGTCTGACAGGAATTGCTTATTTCCTTCTCCAAATGAGATCTTAGGAAACGGAAGCATTGGATAAATCATTCACTGACAGCATGAGATGGTAGGAAACAATAAACCGCAGGCAGATAAATTGTATATAAATGGATCAGCTTTTATTCAGGATTTATTGCTTGCTCTATCAGTTCTGAAATCAAACTGGCACCTGTAATAAAATAATTACTTTCCTGGCCAGAAGCAAATATTCAATACTTCTTGTTTGTTAGTTTTGAGCCACATAATCCTTCCTCCCAGTCTGAGCAGTGAGTGAGAAGTTACCAAAGAAAGAGGCAGAGCTTGGCCACGGAGATGAGGACGTTAATGCCAGTGCACGTCCCACAGCCCGCAGGGCCTGCGGCGGTGCACGGGGGAGGCTCTCTGCTCTCGCACACCCGGCTCATCCTGTCACTTCTGTCCCCTGTCCCTTCCCTCCCCGCAGGGCTGCAAGGCACATCCTGTGAGAACCCAGAGGCACTCGTTCCCCGAGCCAACTATTCCTTGACCAACATGGAGCGTTTCCATTCCGAAGGAAGGTATCCGAAAGCAGAGGAATGTCGCCGCGCTCAGCCCCCTCCTGTGTTTCAGCACTGCAAAGCCAACGGGACTGAGCTGCGCAGGAGGGCCGGGTGGGCAGGCAGCACCTGTGTGTCCTCAGACACAGATGCAGCAGAAGTGCCTCCATGGAACAGCTGCAGCTGCCTGAGTGCCAAAGGAAGGTGGGAAGAGAGCCCTTTTCCCGCTGAAACCCTCCAAATCCTCAGCGGCATGCCGAGGGAGAGTGGATGTCGAGCGGACACAGCTCCAGTCTGACACCGTCGAGTTTATTTCAAGCACAGAAGGCCTTTGCACACACCAGTCCCCTCCCTGGAGTCCTCATGCTCCGCGTGGAGCAGGCGTTTTGCGCCCCAGGCTCCGCGCTAATTCGTCGGCCAGAGCGCGACCACGGCGATG